ACCATTTCACCTTAAACATTCAAAAATGTCACCTTTGGACAGGGGCAAACTCAGATTTCCAGCAAATTACAAGCAAGAGAAAATGGGATTAGTACAGAAATAATTAACCTATTTATAATAGTCACCACCTTGAACGTGCCCCCCTTTGGGGATTCCCAAACCACTTCTGAAAACGTGGATTAAAGCAACTCAACCTCTCTGCCACGTAGGTGTTCGTTCCACTTCAAACTCCCACCCTCAAGAAAGGAAGGTTGTGGTCTCCGTTTCATGTTCCCCTCTCAGCTTTCCAGCCGGATCGCAGTTTGTGCTTAGCAACGGAGAATTCAGGCCTTGGGGCTGTATTTTTTTGGCACCAAGGGGTTCAAATTTTATTTTAATAAGGGGCGGGTGGGGAATCTGGACCACGCAGTTACCTAATTTTAAACACAGCCCATCCACCTGCTTGAGATATCATGTTCTTTAGTCCTCCACTCCGCCTCTTAACAAAATAATACAATGATTTTGCTTCCCCATCTGCCCCTGCCTCCCTCCACATACCCTCATCTCCTTTAATTGGTTCAGAATATTACAGACCTCTCCCTCCCAGTTACTTTCAGAATCTTTCAGACCCTTCCACTGCTAAATCCACAAGGCTTCCTCCAAGTCCTGAAAGGGGAAAAAGAACCTGTTTACAGAACCACTCCCCCGGCCCACAAGACGGGATCCTGTTACAGGAGGCATGTCCGGCCAGGGACAAGTTTCTTTCCATTCCAACAACATCCTCTCCTGCCACCCCTCCCCGAAGGCACTGTGGTAAATCAATCAAGGATCTGTCTCAGCAAGACTGGAAAAGAGGCCTGGGATTGGAACAAGGGGTCCTGAAAAGGTCAAGATGAATTGCAACTTTTCTCCAGCGAGTTTAGCAGAGAGATTGCACTCCTTACCATAAAAAACTGTATCAGAATTCGCAATGAGCATAAAGAAGGAACCACAATGCAGGGTGAATACGATTTACTAATGATTTTACTCTTCACACAACATGAAGGATCTCGAAGTGCTCCCCGGATACATACACACAGGGTGCTGCATGGTCTGTTTTCCGTGCAATGGGTGGTGAGGTCTGTACATGCAAATTCGGGTTCCAGAAGCTGAATTTTTACATGAAAACTGTTTCTAGTTCTCATGGAGGCAAAGAAACCCTGGGAAATGCAAACTGCAGGGATCGGGGTAAATGTAACTTACATTTTTTTTTTTACAGGTACTGTCCAATGTTCCTTTGAATCTTTTCCACCCATGTGAGGAATAAAGTTGTGTGCGCACTGAGGCATGTGTGAATGTGCACCACCCAAAGAAACACAAACCCTGAATGCGGGTGCTCTGCTAATCAACCGGGCAGCATCAAATCTCTCCGCACAAGCACCCCACTTACAGGGAACCCTGGTACTGTCCTACAGCAAACCCCCAGGTGGGAGGGGGGAATCACAGCAGGGGTTGGGGGCTCAGAGTGGGGGGGGGTACAGGAGTCAGAGCAGGGAACTGGGGGATGCAGGGGGCTCTGGGGCAGAGAATTAGGGGGTATGGGGAGAGCTTGGATTGTGGGGTGGTTCGGGGCAGGTGACTGGGGGAGCTTGGCCTCCCTACTGCCTGGGCTACCTGATCCTGGCTAGGGTGTTGGAGACCACGCTGCCTGGTTGCAGGAGAATCCAGGGCCCCGCCCTCCACTGGCCAGTCTTTCACCCCAGTTCTGCACTTTTGGCAGTGTATTTGCTTGGGCCTTCCGCCGGCTTGAAGTAACAGCTGAGGTCGGACTTGTCCCATTGAGATACACTGGGCTAGGACTCCAATCTAAAGACAGCTTGAATCCCTATTCCGTTAGCTGTTCTCCTACAACACTTGCACATATATCCAGTTACTCATGCCATAATATCCAACTGCCTTCCTCATCTGCCCAGCCACACACCCAAACGTTTGGTTCCCAGCTACCAAAATCTCCAGTTCCCCCGACTGCTTAGATGATGCAGCAAAGCACTGTCAATGCAAAGAACTGTTGCGTTCTGTGGGCACAGGGTAAAATCAACTGAGTTTATTCTTTAAAAACACGGCCTACAGTGCTGAGTGCATAGCTCGCTTTCACATCCCTGCACTATCTGGTTTAAAAACTGCAGGCAGCTGCCTCCTGATTTCCATATTCAAAGAGCTGCTGCATGCAAGGGTCACGCTGCAAAATTTAGGTCCAGCAAATTTCCAGACAAAGGGCAAAGCATCAGGAATCACTGCCGTTGGATCTGGGGCGAGCGGAGCGCCTGATGTTCGCGTTCCTACATTATCCATAAGGAAAGCACTGTGGGAAAAGGAGACTGCCAGCATCAGAGGGGTTAAGAGCAGGTAGAACAGCTAAATAAAAGCCACGAGACAACGGGCTGCGGTGATAAATAGTATCCGCACATTAGAGATGGGTGACCAGTTCACAACTACTCCAAGGCTCTTGTGCTCACCCCTCCTCTCTACACAACCGGTTGTATTATAGAAATACACTATCACCACCCCACTTCCTGGATTGCATAAGGTGGAGGGAGATTATCTGAGCCTCCCTTTTCCCCTACACCACTGATAAGAATCCTGCTATCTGAAATCAACTTCTCTCTCTTGGGTGCCATCAAGAAATGGGCTAGTCTAGAGTGAGACCTAACACCAGGATAACTATGCCTAGGTCTACACTACTGAAGAAAGTTGATGTAGCTCCAGCTAGAGCGCAGGTGGACTGATCTCAGAGCACTGATCCCTGCTGTAGTAGCCTAAGTCCCAGAGGAGTGAAAAAATCCACCCCCGAGAGATGCAGCTATGCTGTTCTAACCCTGGGGTTAAAAAGCACTAGATCGACGGGAGAATTCTTCTGTCAATCTAGCACTGCCGCTTCGGGAGGTGGATTACCTAAGACGAAGGGTGACTCCCTCCTCTTGGCATAGACCAGAGTGGCCAACCCACAGCTCGCGAGCCGCATGTGGCTCTTCAAAGGAAAAATTGCGGTTCCGGCACCTGCGGCTCCCCCCCCGCGGGGGCCTCGAGCCACAGAAATAGTGCGCCGTTCTGGCGAAGCCGAGGGCAAGTTTCCCCTCAGAGCAGGAAGGGAGGGGTGCAGAATTATGAGAGTTTTCTCAGTAAGGTCTGGTTATTTTCCGACAGTACAAATGCCCTTAGCAGCTGGTCCTCAGCCCCTCGGATGAGTTAGCAACACACTCGCTAATTAGTGTTGGATGTAACAGGACTTAATTAGAAACTGAGCCGTACTTTGGTGCTGGAGGGCAAGTTTCCCCTCAGAGCAGGAAGGGAGGGGTGCAGAATTATGAGAGTTTTCTCAGTAAGGTCTGGTTATTTTCCGACAGTACAAATGCCCTTAGCAGCTGGTCCTCAGCCCCTCGGATGAGTTAGCAACACACTCGCTAATTAGTGTTGGATGTAACAGGACTTAATTAGAAACTGAGCCGTACTTTGGTGCTGAAGCAGCCAGAACAGGGGTAGCTTTTCGGCAGCTTGCAAGCTGCATGTGGCTCTTCAAAAGAAAAATTGCGGCTCCGCATCCGCGGCTGTTCTGCGTTCCCCTGCTCTGACTTTTTTTCCTTGTCTGGTCAGGGCTCCAGTTGGAGCAGCGAGAGCTGATGCTGTGGCCAACGGAAGCCTGCTTGGGCCACATGTGGCTCTTAAAGGGACAGCTTCCCCCCCCAACAACTTCTTTCCCTCGGCTCTTTGCGCTGTATCCACCACTATTTTGGCTCTTTATCTGTAACGGCTTGGCCACCCCAGCATAGACAGTGCTTACACCGAAGTGATATGCATCACTGCAGTGGTTTAAAAGAAAACATACTCTCTGGGACATCTCCAGTACTTCTGGGTCAGCAGATGTATCTGCAACATAAAGGAATCCCATCCTCTGGATTAATTAGAAAACAAAATATGGGCAATCTTAGTCGTTGGAGCAGAAGTTCTCAGTCAGAGTACAAGGATCCCTGGAGGTATGCAGAGGTCTTCCAGGGATACATCATCTCATCTAGATACTTTTGCCTGGTTTTACAACAGGCTACATAAAAAGCACTAGCCAAGCCAATACAGTACAAACTAAAATTTCATATGACGACTTGCTTAACCAGCTCTTTTGTATTTTGTGTCTGATTTTGTAAGCCAAAAGTTTTTAAGTGAGGTGAAACTTGGGGGCAGGGAGAAGACAGGCACGCAAGACAAATCAGACTCCTGAAAGGGGTACAGTAGTTTGGAAAGGTTGAAAGCCACTACCTTAGAGGCTAGAGGGAAAAAAAAGGAGCTAGCAAGGAGAGTAGATAACAGTGTTCGTTAATCAGGGCCCCACATATCTACTCTACATCCACAGAATCTTCCCCGAGCTCCTTCCTCAACAGGGGAATTGTGCACTACATCGGAATTGGTTTTAAAGATGAAATTTCTAGTCCTGATGCTTTAAAAAAACAACAACCTTGTAAACAAAGTGAATCAAATGTAAAGCAACCTAGTGTAGTGCTTCTGTTTGCAGACAGTCTAAAATAATTGAAAGATAAAATGACTTTCATGAATCCTTCAGTTGAGTTTAGGGCCAAAAGGCAAATACAAATTGTTAAGAGAGCATCTGGCCTTTAATGAGAACAGAATCCACGCTTACAAAAAAGTATGAAATGTTCTATTCCAACAAGAACCAACTTGGCTGTTTGTCTCTGAAGCCAAGCACAGCTGCCTAGGCCAAATGGGGAAGGTTTTTCACTGCAGACCCCTAGTACGCAGTCATAGAAGTGGGATTTTGGGGGTGAGGAGGGAGTTAGGGGATGTACCACTGTCATTATACCCCCGAAGATGCCAGGCTAACCAGGTCCTACTTGCCCCTAGCATTCAAGTCCTGCCCAAAACAGGGATCCCGCGGTGGCCACTGTTGTAGAAACACACAAAAGAAACTTTCCAGAAAAAGGCTTGTGGTCACGGCGGTTATGAAGGGAGGCTATAAAAAAAATGAAGAGACTTACACCAGAGTTCATAGTAGTAGTTGCAACACTGCGACTGTCCACAACAGTGGCCCGTTTCACAGGTATAACTTTGATTGTTGACGCCCATGCAGGTTTCCTTGTCCTAAAATTAAAACCAGAGGCACACAAGTTAGCTTCCATGGCGCACACAACATTAATGATTAACCTCTTCCACACGAGGCTGTCCAAGCATTTAAAACAAAACCATTCGATTTCTCAAGACATTAGCGAGCTATGTAAATTTTAACTCTGAATTACACATAAGGAGATTAAGTTTGCTGCCCAAATCTATTCCATAGTTGAGATAAGAACTGGGGGCCTCTATCAACTGTAGGGTCCTATGCTTTAATGATTAGGCCATGCTGCTTTTTATTATACACCCTCCAGTTCATTTGAAGGCATCGTGTTTTGCACTTGGAACATTTTGTACATAGGACAGAGAGATTTTGTTCCACGTTTTACTTTACTGAACTGCTGAGGCTGCATGTCAAGCCGAGGAAACACTTGAGAAATAGAGAAAGTTGTAATCTGGAGTGAGACCTCCTTGAGTTTATGTAAACCCAAGTGGCAATTACAGTATATTCTTGTAACAGTCACCCTGAAATAATTCTTATAACTAGCAGCGCAGTTTATATAAAATCAGTCTTCCAGTAAAACGTTTTCCTGGAAGCGTCAGCATTCTAGGAGTAGAGCCAAATCAGCTGTCCTTTATCATCCTGCAGTCCCTCCCAGAAGGCCAGTGCACTGGATAGTTAAGAGATGGTATGAAATCACCTACTCCTAGTCCAGTTCCCATACAGGAAGCAGGGCAGCACTATTTCACAACTTGCCATATGTTTTCTAGTGCTTTGTCCAGTCACGTTTGCAAGATCTAACAGCATGGGGGTGGGGGCACTACGAAATGAAAACAGATCCATTTTTACAGGCTGCTGTGAATCACAACTCCAGAATTACAGATGAAGATCGAACATGGAAATGAAAGTAAAAGGAGAGTTAAATGACTTAAAAAAAAACCCCTCTGAAACACATACATATTGAAATTTTGACATTTGCAGCACAGAACCTGAGATTTTCATTTAATAAATTCCCTTTTAGCTAAATTAGGCAAAGTAGACTCGGAGGAGAAGTCTGCACTGAAGAAACTACAGCAAAATTTAAATGTCTCTTTAAAATAAAAATATGCTGCCTTTAAAATAACCTAAGAGCAATTCAAGCCAATAATCCCCCTGTGCATTTTTTCATCCTAAATTTAAAAGAAATACTTTGCACTTCTATTGTACAGTTCACCTGTAGATTCAACAACTCTGTCCAAAACCACACTACCACAGTCTAGCTGGTAGACTATGGCACTAATTTTCAGAAACATGCCTGCCATCAAACATGGTGTAGAATGCAGCTGTACTCTCACAAGGAACCCCACCAAAGAAGTTTAAGTGAGGAAGGAAAAAAAGGAAACTGTCAAGGTTAGTGCAGAAACAAAACACCCACAAAACCTAACCAGTAAAAGGGCACTACACTAGCAGCACATATTAACAGAAGGTAAAACTAACCAATTTGTTGATGTGTTACTAAAAATAGAACTACACCAGTAAGTGATGTGTTTTCAAATATGCAGCATAAGCGGTAAAACACCAGACACATTCTTGGTATTTATTGAGGCTAACCGGTTCACTGGATACGCTGTATTTTCTATTCCTTCATTTCGTTTTGTTTTTTTAAACCAGGTGATATTTTAATTTCTTTGAACACACCACTTGGACCAAATCGAGTGTGTGTCAAGGAAACCCTGTGAGCTATTTTCTCTTAAAGACGACAGTCTATTCTGGATTCAAGGAACAGGTGAGTATCAGTATTAAAGTATTTCCACACCTCCTACCAATCCAGTCAAAGTCAGCACCCACCACAAAAGCCACACTTCTTGCTTCAAATCCTCAAGCACCCGCGTCCACGGAGCAATGTCGTGTCTAAAAGAAAAGCTTTCTGGGGCGCCAAATGCAGCAGAAAGAGCCCCACTCTGTTTCTTCCATAAGAAGAGATCCCAGAAGTTGTGTGTCCTGTAAAGGGATTTTTACGCATGTGCTGAAATACAAAACACAGCGGAGCACAGCTTCATGGAAACTCAGACCAGCAAGCTACTCTCCCTCAATCTGAACCGGAGCAGAAGCTATGAAAAGAGAAGAGCAGCCCAGCTGTACAGCTCTGAACGGATACAAAACTTCGCATTCGCATCTGCGTCCCTAGCTGCAAAAACGAGTCGCAGATACCTACACCCGCGGACATGAATACCCAGGGATATAAAGTGGATCTTGGTGGATTTACAGGGCTCTACCTACACTTAACAGAAAGAGAGAGGGCTGCTTGTCTTGCTAGCTTTCCAAGGCAGCAGGACCTTCTGCCAGACAGACCTCCCAAGCAGCTTGGCTGCAAGTCATTGCTTTCTCCACTTTCAACCCTGCTGCTGGCCACTTTTTGAAACCAAGTTCTTTCAATCATCAGGTACTAATACAACTGAGCAGTGTCACACAGCGCTGTGTGTTTTATGTTCTGGATTGGATGGGCTGTAGATATTCCATGCCTTGACAGGATGACAGGACTTCTCCACCTGTAATTTCGAAGGTGACAGTTGAATGTGCAAGTTACTCTGCTGAGCTACCAGCATTTTACATTTACATTTCTTTGACTATAGCATTCATCCCCAAATGCAATTATGGTCAAGGAAATAACTAGAAATGACACATCTCTGCTCCTTCCGTATCCTGAGGTCTCAACTCTTCATGCATCCCAAGCCATATCTGTCCTCCTCACTCACTTTCTTTCTCTTATTAGCCATGCAGCAACAATGCTATTGGAGAACGACCTAGATTCTTTTCAGACTCATACCAACAGAAACTGCTGATGCACTTGATTTTCAGATCACAAATTCGCAACCGTGACAAACTCTAAAGCAACATTGCCAACGGAGCAACTGTCAGACAGGCAGGAGCTGGAATCTCACACAGTTATTTTAAGAGTCTCAGAGTGTTAGTCTGTAACTTTAAAAACAACGAGTGGTCCGTGTCATTTTAAGATTTACTTTGCACCAGGATGTACATTTCAAGGAATTCAACAGCATTTATTCCAACAGATCTCTTCTGTTGAAACGATAACATTTCAAAAGAGCAAAGATTAAGAATTTGCAGCCACAACCTGTAACAAAGATATAAACTTCCCTGGATTCTCCCACTTGCTTAAGAGTTTGAAGTGGCCAAACGTACTCAAAGCTCAATTTTATTTTGGGGGATTTTGTCATAAGTTGTTCAAACCACATCATCATCCGCTGAATTCCTGCACTGGCTCCCCCTTGCCTATGAAAATCAAGTTTAATTCTAACCCCGCTCTGCACAATGCTATTTCCTTGCTTACATGTACGTACAGGTACAGCCTTGCAAATCCACTTTAAGTCCATGGGTAGCCACATCCTGACTCAGCAATCTAGGGGCTCATTTTTGCGAATATAGATGTAGATACAAATTTTGTATATAGAACGCTGCAGATTAGCAAATATCCGCTTTATAGCCGCATCCCTGAATGTAGATATTTGAGATCATTTTTGCAAATGTGGATACCAATTTTATATCCATGCAGGACTCTACTGACAGGGGGCACCTGGTGGCAGACTGAGGTGGCCCCTACTAGCGAAATATATCCCCCAACAGACGGGAGCATCATTCATGGCATTCTGTGTGTTCCCACGCAGCCTGGGGCTACGAGATAAGTGCAGTACTCTGTGAACCGAGTCCAAAGGGTTGTTGCTTCCTCACAAAGGGTCTGAGAAGGAGCCGCCCCCACCTTCTTGCTTAAGTAGTACACAGAGGTGGCATAGACTCTTAGGACCTTGACAGGTTGTCCTATCACCTGAGATAAAAAAAGATTTCAGAGCCTACACCACAGTCCCTAGTTCCAGCGATTTGGACCCCCACTAGTTCCAAACTTCACAGACCGTCAGCCCTTGGCAGCAGGTCCCACAGCCTGCCTCAGATGCATCTGTACCGTTACTGCATGAGCGCACAGGATGAAAGACCCAGACTTCCAAGTCATGATCACCTAGTCCAGAGGTCGGCAACCATTTCAAACCGAAGAGCCAAACAACATCAAAATTCAGAGCAAGTGGTCAGCAAACAGCCATGTAAGAATGCCCCTCTGCCAGCAGCTGAACTGAATCTCTCAGTCTGAAAACCCTCATTTCCCCAAGGCCTGCACATAACTCATTTCAGTAACGTGCCAGTCCCATTCCTTTCCTCTGTCAGATGAAAGATTTAAGCGACCGCCATGCCAAATCTCTGAACGTACTCTTGTTGGAATTATGTGATTTAGGGCATTCAGGCAAGGACCATATCTTTATTTAGCATTTGTAAACACCCTTTAGACCAGTGTTTCCCAATTTTATTTGGCCAAGGAACCTTTTTAAACTTGAAAGAATTTTGTGGAACCCCTAATAAGTCTTATATATGGAGCTGAAAAAGTAGACCACAAATAAGTAAGCATAATAATAAACAAACACTAAACAAGGTCATGAGATCAACATTTAGTTTAATTGCACACATTTAAAAACAAAAATCACATTTAAAAATAAAGCTCAAAAACTAATATACATTATGTTGGCAGTTTTCAATGCAAAGAGTGGGTTTTCTTCTTTTCTTGGCAAATTCTCTTTATATTTGGTTTAATACTGGAAAGTTGGATTCGCGTATCTGGCGCGGCATTCAGTCGATTTCTGGATTTGGTTTTTGTTGCTGCGTAATTCAAGAACCCAGTTTCGCACAAGTATGTGCTGGTGAAGGGTAACTAATGATGAACTGCACATCTTGATAAAGCCGAATATTCTTGACATAAGCCGTCCCAAAATGTAATCAGAGAAACATCTTTAATTTTTGTATTAATTGGCCGTCTGAAGCGAACACCAATGAAAATTGTTTTCAATAAAATTCATACATGCTTAAATATTATTTTTTAAAAATAATTGTTATTGAATGGAATTTTCTTGCGGAATCCTTATTTTCACTTTGCGGAACCCCGAGATTCCACAGAACACCATTTGAGAAACACTGCTTTAGTCTATTATTA